TAACTCAAGTGGAAATAATTTATCTGTTGATCATAAGTCCAAATTCGCTGCACAATATATCTGAAAATTGGCATCAAGTTGCATGTTCCAGCTGTCTTGAAGCTGGACAGAAACAAGTTGCATTGCCTACTTGAATTTTGGATGTTCCTTTGCCTATAAAAGGGGACCTTGGCCACGATTTTGAAGAATCAATTCTCTCCATCATATTCTAGTTTCCTTCATTTTCTTTGTAACATTTCACTATGTATTTCTAAACATTTAGCTAGAGCTAGGGGTGAAACTTTGATGAATGTTTAGTATTGTCTTTGATCTTTCATTTTGTTCTTCAATGTTCATCTTCTTACTTGGTTGAAGTTTGTGTTCTACAAATGGTTTTGGTTTGTTAAAGACTTTGATTTATTGTCGACAATTTTGGCACAATAAATGCTTAGATAATCTCTACATACCAACAACTTATTTTGACATATTCTCTCAAACAATTATCAAGATCTATCTTTCAATATATTTGTGATCAATGTTTTATCTTCCATATGAGATCACTCCTTAGTTGATTTTTATATGAGTTAAATTAAAGATCAAGTGCAATTTCTACTCATTTATCCGAAGTGAATCCCCGACGCTCTAGTGTTCGTGTTAATCGTATTTCCGCCAACCGTTTATTACTCATAGAATAGTTTATTTCCTTCCAATTCCCTGTGGTTCGACCTCGGACTTCCGAGATTTACTACTTGCGACAACCTGCACTTGGGTTTGCAACCTTAAAGTTGTAGCATACACTATGATGTACACTTTAGTTACACTTTGCCATGTGACATTACTCTGTTTGACAGTTTGAATGTCATATAGTTTTCCCATCCCATTGCCACTTGACGACAATGCAAGTGTCAAACAACATGTCGAAAATCAGTGTAAAAGTAGCAAAGTTTAATCGGTAAGGACGTTGCTACATGTACACTATGGTGTATACTTTAGTTTACACTTTGCCACGTGACATTACCCTGTTGGGCAGTTTAAATTTCAAACAGTTTTCCCATCTAATTGACACTTGACAACAATGTAAGTGTTAAACAACGTGACAAAAATCAGTGTACAAATAGAAAAGTTCAATCGGTAAGAACCTTGCTACATGTACACTATGGTGTACACTTTGGTTGACACTGTGTCTTGTGATATTACCCTGCTGGACAGTTTAAATTTCAAACAGTTTTCCCATCCAATTGACGCTTAACAACAATGCAAGTGTCAAACAGCGTGTCAAAAATTAGGGTACAAATAACAAAGTTCAATCGTAAGAACCTTGCCACATGTACACTATGGTGTACACTTTAGTTTACACATTGCCACGTGATATTATCCTGTTGGACAGTTTAAATGTAAAACAGTTTTTGTGACGCCCCGAATTTAAGCATCGAGGGTCACGTACTAAACATAATAACTTCTGCTTTTGGTACATGTAAATACTCTTAAATAGAAGTATTACATGTTAGAAACTTATTTTTCAATTTGATAAAACAATTCTTATAAAATTTGATGGCCGGTAAAAGTGCATGCCAACATGAAATTTTACATTACATATACGACCTCGGCACTATCAAGGTTAGTTGGGGCAGCAAGTTTGACAATTTTTATAAAATTCATCCCAACTCCATTTTACATGAAATTTGTGGCATTAGAAAGATAATTTCAAGTAGTTTTCTAGGTTAAAATATGAAAATTTTCCAAGATCATATGATATAGACGTTTTACGGAAAACAGTGAAACATTACACAGGAAATCCAGATTGACCCCTTGACGTTAAAACCTTGATAACTCAGGCCATAGGTATCCAAATTGAGTGATTCCTTCGGCAATATTTAGAAAACTCAAAGATGAAAACAGAAATATTTTTAGAGTCTCAAATGGACATTTATAGAGTTAGAAACATCATTTCGAAATTGACTCCAGAAACTGTCCCGTTTCTGCCTTTTGTCTCTTGTAAGGAAAATAAACTGCAAAAATGTCTCTTAACATAACATGAAAGATATAATTACAAAATTTACTATTAATACCATATTTCATCATGTCATGTACATATTTTTACATAATACCATAAGAAAAATAGATGGAAAAACTGTCATCGAACAAAACATACAAAAGAAAACTTTCGATACAAAACATCTTTGTCCTTAATCCATCATCGATTTCGCCAACTAACTTCCATCAATTCAACGATCATGGATCTGAAAATTTAGCATAAAATACTATGAGTATAAGGAATACTCAGTAAGATACCATGCTTGGATTTTTATCATGATAATACTACACAAAAGAATGCAATCAAACACATACTTGTACATTCCGGCTTGCCGGTGCCCTTCGGACTTGTCCTAAGGCATAAATAGATATCTAACTTTGTGGACTTGTCCACCATAATCATATTATGGTTTTTCATGCATAGTTTAAGCATAAATATTATCATGAAAATCATACTCCTTAAGCATGGAAGGTATCTTACCGTAAAACTTGAAGATCTTCGATTGAGATGTAAATTGGAAGTGCTAGTCTTTCTTCCTTCCCTTTCCTTTCTTATTTTCGGTTTTTACTCTCTTTTTAAGTGTATAAGTGTTTTGTAAAATGAAGGAAATCTCTCTATGGCAATGGATATGGACGTATTCATATATATATAAGGAAAAGGATGTTGGTTTGATATTTTTTCTTCTTTTTTTTTTCACTCCACCGCCTCAACCTCCTTTTCTCCCATTTTTCTCTTTTTTTTTTCTTACTTGTACACATGTTTAGTCTATTGTCTAAGTGTATGGTGATGATAAATGCCAAGTGGGTTGATTATAGGGTAATAAGTGGCCTCAAAACCTAGATTTACAAAGGAAGCCTCTTATCTTTTCTACTAATATAATCTAAACCCTCTAACTTTCATTATTAGCAAAGTGTATCCCAAATCTAAACTTATATCCAACTTACATATTCAAAAAGTGTAGATTATAAATTAATTTAATCATTTGGTCAATTGAAGTCCTAACAAAAATAATCCACTTCATTCAAATTCAAACTTGACTTATGTTCCGATTAACTAATAATCACTTACAACATTTGACACTTCATGCCTACATTCCTTAACTACCTCTAACATTAACCACTACAAAGGTGGTGTCCCCTTATCCTTATGGCCAAAATAATATTAAAAGTTAAATTGCTATCCTAAGGAAATTTAAACGAGCATAAAATTTCGGAGTATTACAGTTTTCCCATCTAATTGCCACTTGATAACAATGCAAGTGTCAAACAATATGTCAAAAATCAGTGTACAAATAGCAAAGCTCAATCGGTAAGGACCTTGCCACATTTACACTATGGTGTACACTGTTGCTTGCACTTTGCCACGTGACATTACCTTGTTGGGCAGTTTAAATTTCAAACCATTTTCCCATCGAATTAATACTTGACAATAATGCAAATGTTAAACAACATGTCAAAAATCAGTGTACAAATAGCAAAGTTCAATCGCTAAGGACGTTGCTACATGTACATTGTGGAGTGCACTTTAGTTTACACTTTGCCACCTGACATTACCCTTTTGGACAGTTTAAATTTCAAATAGTTTTTCCATCCAATTGACACTTGACAACAAAGCAATTGACAAACAACGTGTCAAAAATTAGTGTACAAATAGCAAAGTTCAATCGGTAAGAACCTTGCTACATGTACACTATGGTGTACAATTTAGTTTACACTT